TACGGCGGCGGGCCCCGATGGTATTCATTATGAGATGCTTCGCCATCTCCCTCCGTGCACGTCTCAGTATTTACTGAGTCTGTATAATCGGATCTGGGAGTCGTCGTCAGTCCCTGAGGACTGGCTCGATGCCGTTGTCCTCCCTGTTCGCAAACCGGGGTCTCTGGGTACTTCCCCTAAGGACTTTCGCCCTATTGCCCTCACAAGTTGTGTCTGCAAACTCTTTGAACGTATGGTTAACGTTCGTCTGATGTGGTTCCTGGAACACCATCACCTCCTCTCCCCTTCTCAATTTGGTTTCCGCAAGTGCCGCAGCACGACAGATGTCCTGGTGAACTTGGAGGTCTATATTCGTACTGCTTTTGCTGCGAAGACCTCCGTTGTTGCCGTCCTTTTTGACCTGGAAAAGGCTTACGACACCACTTGGCGGTATCATATTCTATCTCAACTTCATTCTTTTGGCCTTCGTGGTCATCTCCCTCTCTTTCTCCGCAGCTTCCTCTCTCGTCGTTCCTTTCGGGTGCGCCTTGGTACCGCTCTCTCTGCCTCTTTTCAGCAATACGAAGGTGTGCCCCAGGGTAGTGTTCTGAGCACTACTCTTTTTCTGGTTGCCCTCAATGGTCTTCTTTCCTCTCTTCCTTCAGGTGTCTTCTCCGCTCTCTATGTCGATGATCTTACCCTTTGCTGTCAGGGTGATGATTCGCCTCTCCTTCAGCGCCGGCTTCAACTTGCAATTGATGCCGTGTCATCTTGGGCCACCGATCATGGCTTCAAGTTCTCTACTTCTAAGACTTGTGCCATGACTTTTACGCGGAAACGGGTCGTTCTTCGTCCCTCTTTGTCACTTTATGGTCATCCCCTTGAGTACAAAGATTCCGCGAAGCTTTTGGGGTTATTCCTTGACACTCGTTTGTCTTGGTCTCCCCATATCTCTTACCTCCGTGTTGAGTGCTCTAAGGCCCTTACCCTCCTTCGGGTCTTGTCCCATACTTCTTGGGGGGCAGATAGGCGCACTCTCCTTGCTTTACATTCCTCTCTCGTCCTGTCTAAGCTCGATTATGGTTGCCCTGCTTACTCGTCTGCTTCTCCTTCTACTCTTCGCCGTCTTGATGCTTTGCACCATACTGGGTTGCGCCTCAGTTCTGGTGCCTTTCGTTCGACTCCCGTCCTTAGCTTGTATGTTGACACTGGCTTCCTGTCTCTCCAAGACCGCCGTGATCGCTACTGTCTTCGCTATCTTGCGCGGTCCTTACAACATCCTTCCTCTCGCCTCTGTCGTGCTTTAACTTTTACCCCTCCTGCGGTTCCTGTTCCTCTTCACCACCTCCCTCTTTCTGTCCGGTTATCTCGCCTACAGGACTCTCTTTCCGTTCGTATTTCTAATGTTTCTCCTCGTGTTGTTCCTTCTTTGCCCCCGTGGAGAGTCCCTCTTCCGCGGTTTTGTACATCCTTGACCCGTATCACTAAAGCTTTTACCCCTCCTACGGTTCTAAAACGCCTTTTCCTTGAGCACTTTTCTTCTCACTCCCGCTCCGTTTCTGTCTTCACCGATGGATCTAAGTCTGCGGACGGTGTTGGCTACTCTGTTGTTTTTCCTGATCGCACTTATATGTGTCGCTTACCTCCGGAGACTAGCATCTTTACAGCGGAGCTTTATGCTATTCTCTATGCTCTTCGTCTCCTGCTTTCTCGTTGTCAGTCTTCCTTTGTAGTTGTTGTTGACTCTCGTAGTGCCCTCATGGCTCTCGGGTCCTTTAATCCGGTTCATCCAGTAGTTGTCGAGATCCAGCATTGGCTGTTTCTTGTTCACAGTAAATTTAAGTCGGTTGAGTTTTGTTGGGTTCCCAGCCATATTGGTGTGTCTTTAAATGAGCGTGCGGATGCTGCCGCCAAGGAAGCTGTCCGCTCTTGTCCCATCTCTCGTAAAGGTATTCCGTATTCCGACTTTTACCCGGTTATCCATTCCTCCGTCCTTACCCGTTGGCAGGCTTCTTGGTTGTCTGTTACTGGTAACAAACTACGTACTCTTAAATGTTGTGTTTCCTCGTGGCCGTCCTCCTTCCACCGTAACCGGCGGTGGGAAACAGCTCTGGCGAGGTTGCGTATTGGCCATACTCGCTTAACCCATGGTCACTTGATGGAGCGCCGCCCTGCTCCTTATTGTCCTAGTTGCATTGTCCCTCTTACGGTCGTGCATGTCCTTCTTGAATGTCCTGACTTCCAGGACGAGCGTGTGTCTTGCTTTCCGACCGCCCCTCGCGGTCACCTGTCCCTCAATAGAATTCTTGGTGACTCGGATACTTTTGATATCGTTCGCCTTATGCGTTTTTGTTCTCGTATTGGCATCCTTGGTGATATTTAGCGCCCTCTGATTATTTTGCGCATTTGATGGTGCTACATAGCCTTCCCGGTTTGGTGCCTTCTTTTATTCCATTTATTCACCTCCCTTACACTAAAAGAAAACTTTCTAACATATCTATGACATACCTGAGTCTCAAGCTTTCATCCGTGCCCCCTTGTTTATTGATAGTCACTATAAACATTTCCTCTGTTTCCACCTAGTCAATACCTCTTAAGTATTTGATACGTCTGTATCATGTCTCCCCTGTCCCTCGTGGTCAAGTTTAGTTCCTTCAGTCTGTCTTCATACCTTATCCCTCGCAGCTTTGGGACAGTCTCATTGCAAACTTCGGCATCTTTTCGAGCTTCCTTGTGTGTTTTTTTAGATGAGGGCTCCACGATAGGCGGCATACTCTAAGACTGGCCTTACATAGGCGGTATATAGTGATATAAAAGCCTCTTTATTCATGTTTCTGAAGGATGTTCTGACTTTTGCCAGAGTAGAGTATGCGGCTGACGTTAATCTATTTATAGGAGCCTCTGGAGTTAGGTTTGGTGTTATGTCCACTCCCAGATCTTTTACTCTAGACGTTATAGGGAGGTAGTTTCCCTTCATCGTGTACTGGCCTTTCGGTCTCCTGGCCCCTGTTCCGATTTCCACTGGCTTGCACTTGTTTGTTTTGAACTCTAGCAACCATATCTCAGACCATCTATGCAACCTGTTCAAGTCATCCGGGAGAAGCTTACAGTCCTCATCTGGCTCAACCCTCCTCGCTAGTTTTGCATCATCTGCAAACATCGACATAAGACTCGACTCCTGCAGTCAAGTCATTTATATAAATGATGAATAGAATGAGACCTAGCACCGATCCTTGAGGCACCCCGCTTGTTACTCTACGCCAACCGGACTCCTCGTCCCTCACTGTCACTACCTGACACCTGTCTTTCAGGTAATTCCTTACCCATGATAGTGCGATTCCCTCTACTCCCTCCTACCTCTTAAGTTTGTATAGTAACCTTCTCTGTGATATTGTATGTAATGCTTTTTGGCAGTTCAGAAATATGAAATCTGGCCATCCTTCTCAGTCTTGCCTTATTTTCGTTACCTTATCATAGAACTCCAGGAGGTTCGTCAGGCATGATTTCCTTACTATGAAAGCCGTGTTGTTTACTTACAAACCTAATTCTTTCTAAGTGGGCAACTAGTCTCTGCCTTATAATTCTTTCAACTACTTTGCAAGGGATGCTTGTGAGCGACATTGGTCTGTAGTTAAGTGCCTCTTCTCTATCTCCTTTCTTGTAGATTGGCACCATATTTGCCTTCTTACAGCAACTGGGCAAGTCCCCCTGAGTAAGTTACTCATTATAGATTAGTGCTAGAGGTATATTGACGGCCTGTGCTGCTTCTTTTAACATCCATGGTGATATTCTATCTGGTCCAGTAGCTTTAGTTACAATCAGTGATGCTAGTTGTGTTCTTCTTCTGCTGTTACCTAAATATTTAGTAGTTTCTCATCAGAGGCTGCTTCCTCATCTCGGTCTGGGAGCTGTTTACACTCTGTAGTGAACACTCTATGAAAGCTGGTTTTTAGCTCCTCACAAATTCATATTTTAATTTTCTGTATACCGGCTTTTTTCGTAGCCTGGTCACTTGATCATTCACTGTCATTTTCCTTCTTATATGGCTATGTAGGAGTTTTGGTTGGCTCTTTGCTTTGGAGGCAATATAATTTTCATAGTTTCTTTCTGCTAATCTTCTTAGGGTTTAGTAGTAATTCCTGGCCCTGTTGTATCTATTCCGGTTTATCTCTGTCCTTTGCCTTTTGTATTTTTTCCATTCCTTCCTGCTCTTTGCTTTTGCTTCCTGGCACGGACAATCGAACCACGGCTTATTGTATGCTCTTCTACTTCTTTCCCTTAATGGTGGTATGAATCTCATTTCTATCTTTTTGCACCTCAATTTTACTTGGTCCATCATTTCCTGAACCGTCTTCCCTCTAAGTTCTTCCTCCCATTGCACACTTCCCAGATACTCTTATTTTCATGTAGTCTCCTTTTTTATAGTCTGCTCTCCCTTCCCTGAGTTCTTGTCTTATGGGCACTGTTCTGAGTTCCATCATGATTTGTTGACTACCCGGCGTGGAGTGCGGGCCCTGGTGTGGCTGCTGACGTGGCCTGAGTGACGTGCTTTGCTGAGGGGCCCGCAGGGCCATGTTGGCCTGCAGTATGGGGGGGTGCCTGTGCTCCCTGTCGTCTGGCAGGAATCTATTGGCCAGAAATTTTCCGGCAACGCCTCCTACCAGGTGCAGGAAGTGGTGATTATGGACATGTTATGTGTTCCTGTGGAGGCAGTGTGTGGTTTGTAGCTGCTTGCTGGGAGCCGGGCAATTGTGAAGTTCAGCTCCTTGGTGGTTTACCGTGATCTCGTAGAGTGTTATGATGGGCGCACTTTCCCTCTTCCTGACAATGGTAGATCAGTGACTTTCTCCGATTGCTGTGGTACGACGACGTATATGGTGGTGCATAGGACGCCCTTCGAGTTCCCTGAGGACCTTCTCCGTCGGTACTTTGCCCATTTTGGGCGGGTTCTTCACGTGTGGATGAACGCCGTTCCCACAGGGAGGTGAAACGGGGTCATGTGTGGGACCCGCACTCTCGCCATGCGCCTCAGGGATCATATACCATCCTCCATCATGCTGTTGGGTTTTCCCCTCTACGTGTGTTTCATGCAGGCCAACCCCGGATGTGTTTCAGGTGCGGCTTCCCGGGCCACCAGGTTGCGGGGTGTGAGGCGTATGAACACGTTTCTCTCCTCGGGGCTTGAATCGGAGACCTTCGATTACGAATCGATGATGTAGACCTCTGTGCTACAGGATTGCCAGCAGCGACAAACTTATAAATAAAAGGCATAAAATTCCAGGTTCATATCAAGAGACTCTTGAAGTTCAAGAGGCTCTGAGTCAGCCTTCGGGAAATAAAATTTTGTTAAATAGGTAAGTGAGCAAAATTTTTTGATAAATTAATGAACTTACGACGGGTCGGGACCTTAAAACTATTTAAATAAACTCTATCAAATTTTTTTTTTTCAGGGATATTCCTTCGTGGGCCCTAAGCCTCTGGCTGTCCCACTAGGTGTTGCTTGTTTGTTTTACTTGGGCAGAGTGTGAGTATTTATAACTCGTATGGTCACTTCAGTAACATTTTGTCCCACGTGGTTAACAACAACATCTGCTCTGTTGAATCAAAGTTGAAATCTTAATGGGTTTGTAACTGTGCACTGTGTTAGATAATGTTCCAATGGACTGTCGGGCATTTCTCCACAATGGTGACATTTCCTCTCATCTTTCGGAACCTTTAAGCCTATTTCCCATGCACATGGGTATCCAAGCCTGATGCGATGTAAGTGTACTTCTGTTGTTCTACTGCTCCCTTTCATCAAAATAAGTGGTTCGTAGTTGGTTGAATTCTTGTACCAACCGCAGGTCCTGATGTTGCAACTGCTGTGTTGTGGTCACTGTACTTCTATTGAATTGCTCTCTTTCTTAATCTGTGATAAACTCTGTGGTATATAAATGTCTACATTTCTTCTTAGTTGCAAGTTTTGCAGCTTCGTCTGCAATATCATTTCCTATTATTCTCACATGACTTGGCACCCAGTTGATAAGTACCCGACGGCCTTGATGTCTGAGTGTTTGCATTAATGATATGACATTTGTGATTAGATGGATGTTATCACGTATATGTTATTTGTTACAAGGTTTCAATGGCAGTTCTCGAATCTGTATGTATGAAAACATGTTGTTGATGTTCAGCAAGAGCATGTTCCAAAGCCTTTTGAATGGCTAGCATCTCTGGTTGTAAAGTTGAACACCCGTTTGAGAGTTTCCAACTATTTACAGAGTTTTCTGTCTTAACACTTTGTTGTTCTGAGCGAACGAGTGCTACGCTACCCCAGGTTGGGTCTGGGCATTCCACGGGAGCGCGTGGTAACTCTAAAAAAGTGTATACTCTTTTCAACTTTGTCATTTCAATTCTCGTCCTAGGTTTTTCAGTTTGGTATCAATGTGTTCACAACAGAATTCTCTACAGGACTAAAAGCATATAAAGCCTAAAAGCCCGGCGAGAGGCTGTGAAAGTGATAGCGAGTTACCGGGGTGCACGCAAGAGCAACAAAATGTGTACACACTCTTCAATTTGGTCACCTCAATTTTCGTCCTAGGTTTTTCATTTTGGAATTATTGTGTTCGCTATAGAATTCGCTACAGGAGTATATGCAAATATAAAGTCCAAAAACCCGGCGCACCACCCACAGCAAACAGAGAAAGTGACGGAGCATTACCCCAGTGAGCGCTCATCAAGAGCAATAAGATGGGTATACTCTTTTCAACTTTGATACCTCAATTCTGGTCCTAGGTCTTTCCTTTTGGTATCAATGTATTCGCAATGAAATTCCCTACAGGAGTATATGCATATAATGTCCAAAACCGCAGCGCACCACTCCCGCCCCTCCCAAATTGGCCACCGCCAATTTTCGACACAATACTGAGTCGTTACCGGACATTCGTTGTCTAAATTTTCGACGCAATGCAACTCTGGTTTCTTGTCCCTGCTGGTCTACTGATCCATCTGTGAAGTATGTGAAGCTATCAGATGCAAAGTTTTCTTCTATATGCATCTGTGCAATATTATGTAGCAGATGAGGATTAGTTTAGTTCTTTTTTCCTTCTAGAGCCATAATCTTAAAGTCTGCTGGCAGAGATTTCCAAGGGGCTTACATAAAAAGTCTGCATATACTTTGTCAACACCCCTCTCAGTGATTGTATTTGTTATATCGAATGTATTGATGGTGTTTATCGCACAATGGATCCACCTGTTGCTATTAGAGGCTCTTCTATCCCGAGTTAGTGTTTCAGTGGTTATATCTTTTAAGTGAACTGATTCTAGGTCTAGTCAATATCTTGGTCAGCATGCACACAGCAATCCCTTTTACCCCTATTTCAATCGATGTTAGCTTGGTGCGGGCCATCTTAGGTTCCTGCCATCTGGGAGTTCAGGCCATCCGTTTAGGCCATCTGGGGGCCCCTGTTATGTCTCGCATTGCATCGTTTTGAATAACCTCAACGTTTGCCCCGCTGACCAGGAGAAAGAGTGAGTAAGGCAGGCAATGAATAATGTTATGATCCCAGGTAGCCGAAAAACGAGTCTCCCCTTTGAGAATTATTCTATCAAGCCTGACCTGACTAGAAGGTCTAGGAAATATAGGGGTGAAGACACAGATGTAAAATGGTTGGATTTGATAAACAATTTAAGATTATGGGCAGTGAATAAGAAAATAGATAAATGACTGGTTAGGAGATGTGGATAATTTGCTGGAGGTGTGAGGCTCACTTAGAGAGGAGCTTAAGTCACTTGAGTACCAGACATCGCAAGGGGAAGCTGCGCTGTGTAAGCTCCTGTCAGAGAGGGACCCCTAGTGATATATCTCCAAGAGAAAGGAAGTGTGCAGACGTTCCAGCTGTGGAATCGAGCTGGGAATGTGAGGTCTCAAGTCCTGGACGGCAAGGAGAGTTTGTTAAGCCGCCCAGAGACATTATCGTGGGCCGTGGGAGCGCCCACGATAATGATCAGACGCCGTCAGAGGGAGAGTGCCCTTGACTAGACAATCTGTGGTAAGCACGATTTAAGCAAGTTTATAGTGATTATTTGTAGTTGGTCGTGTGCCATGCGACAGTAGCGAATGTTTATTGATAAGTTAGACATGTTTTGGTAAGGCAGGAAACCTAAATAAAAGGACGGAGATGAGAGAGACAGCTGGAGGGACGAGCAGCACGTCCTCTCCCGTCGACCGCTTGAAGCCAACTGGCGGCGGAGGACCCTACGAGAGTTGAGGAGCTGCCCGCCGGGTAAGGCGGAGCATGGACCAGCCCAAACGGGGAAGTCCACTCTCACAGTATGTAGAGAACTGATTGATGTTGGAGGCAAACATATTGTGTGGATTATTTCGTTTGTGTGTTTAAGGGGAAACGTTTTTATTGGAGTGTCAATGGGTTGCAGGTTTGTCTTTGGGGAAGAAGTTGCTGTGAACTTCGAGCCACTAAGAGTGAGTTAGTGGAAGAGACTCCAAGACTGTGGAAGGAGTAGTGTATTCCGAGGAAGAGTAGCCCCCACAGTGGAAGAGTAGGACCTCGAGCTGTGAGGAGAAGCAGTGAAGAGGAGTGTCACGTGCTTCTGTAATACCAGAGGCGAAACTCCAGTTCTGTTCGAGGAAACTTCATGGTGTAGCAGCCAGGAGAGCTGTGGAGGACCCTAGTAGAAGTGGTGAAGCACCATAGTTGCTCAAGGAACACTTCATGGTGTAGCAGCCTGGAGGAGCTGCGGAGGATCCTGGTGGATAAACCCGGAAGAACCTGAAGAGATCAGGGTAGTGAACTTCCAGAGGTGGAAGGGAAGTTCTGGTTGATTACTTGTAGGGAGTTGGTAGAGAGTTTGGTTGTCATTAGCGTGCAAGACGCAGTGAAAGGTGAGTGATTGTTTGCCCTTTTTGTGTCAAGGAGCACTTATACTGAAGTATAGAGTTACAGTCGTAGGCTGGATTACCTACAGATGTATGTGTTCTAGGATTGATAGTGATCGATTGATCATTGTTGTATATCAAATAACATTTATACTAATATTTATGTTATTGCAGTCATACGCTGGTTTTCCTTGTATGTGTTTATAAATATACATTCTCTTGCTGATAGTGCAACATTGTGTTATAAGACTTGAAATACTTGAGGAGGTTGGTAGTATTTGGTCGTGAATCGGGAGATAGGATACCACTTGATAAGCAGATGATAGAGTTCTGATGGTGTTGGAGTGCAACCTGACTGAAATAGTATAGAGTGTAGGATTCATTATTATTGTTATTATTATTATTATTATTATTATATGTGTATGTATTGTGTATGTGCTTTGTCCAGTAAATGTATTCAAATTTGCTGGTGTTTGCCCTTGTCCTAGTGAGGCTTCCCAGGATGTAGTAAAGGAGAGAGAGAGAGAGAGAGAGAGAGAGAGAGAGAGAGAGAGAGAGAGAGAAGAACCAAGAACCACCACTGTGGACAGGGTAGGACGGAAAACTAATAAGTCAAAGGGATTGAGATCATATTACCTAAGGAGAGAGTGGGGAGTCACAGCGGCTCGAGTGGGTGTGTGCACGTGACAACGAGGCTAAGTATTGGAGCCGCATCCCCTAAACGGGTGACGTTGGGCCCCTCTCCAAGAGCCAGAAGCCCCCGGGGTGATCTCCTGGTAAAGTATAAGCACTCTACCGAGTTGTGGGTTGGGTTGTCCAGAAAGAAGGATCAACAACAACGACGACGACACCAACCCACAATATAATAATAATCAACTAGGAAACGAATGGCGTGTATGTAAAACATTCTTAACACTTTGTGTCCCGCTCCTAGACGGGGCCCTGTGATTGCTCTCATTATATTTAGTCGTGATTTTGCTTTCTCCTTCAGATATTGAATTTGCTTGTTGAATGTCATTTTAGAATCTATCCACACTCCAATATATTGATGTTGTGTAACCCAATAAAGGTTAATGTCTTGAATGTGTAAGTGCCTGTCTGGAGTGTTGCCACATAGTCTTATTGCCTTAGACTTTTGTGCAGATATATTTAGCCCTAAAATGCTGCATTCAGATCTTACTTTATCTAACACTCCTTGTGCTTTATTTAGAAGCGAAGGACCTGTAATGACTAATGCTGTATCATCAACATAGTTTAGCAATTTAACCCCTTCTGCAAATGTCATGGTAATGAAGTTTTCCATAAGGATGTTAAAAAGACTAGGACTGAGGACCCATTCTCCTGCAAGTGGTAGTCCGACACTTGTCGTTGCAACTTTACTCTGGCATACCTGTGACTTAGGTAGTCTAGAATCCATGCTAACATATTTCCCTTTACACCTTTTTTAACTAACGTGTGTATAATTGCTTGCGGACTTGC